CACCTCCAAGATCATGACTGCATGGAGTGCCATTGTCTTACACTGTTATATTTTTACGTGCTATGATTTTAACTCTGTGGGATTGGGCTTAGGCCTGAGATGGAGGTGGGATAGAAAAATAGTAATTACTAGCTGTCCCCTGCCATGCCTTGCTGCGGCCCACATGGGGTTTCTGTGTGGGAGGTTTGGCCCAATTCGATCATTGGTGAGGTTCAGAATGCTCTGTGATTGTTGGTGAACTATAAATCCCAGCAACTACAACTCCCAAATGTCAAGATTCTATTTTCCCCAAACTCCACCAGTGTTCACATTTGGGCATATGGAGGATTCGTGTAGAGTTTGGTCCAGATCCATCTCTGTTTGAGCCCACAGTGCTCTCTGGATGTAGGTGAACTACAACTCCCAAACCAAAGGACACTGCCCACCAAACCCTTCCAGTATTTTCTGTTGATCATGGGAGAACTGTGTGCCAAGTTTGGTTCAATTCCATTGTTGGTGAAGTTCAGAATGCTCTTTGATTGTAGGTGAACTATAAATCCCAGCAACTACAACTCCAAAATCAATTTTTTTTTGAGTGAAGGACATACATTGGGTTGTTAGGTGTCTTGTGTCCAAATTTGGTGTTAATTTGTCCAGTAGTTTTTGAGTTCTGTTAATCTTACAAAAGAGCATTACATTTTTATTTATATAGATTATTATTATTATTATTATTATTATTATTATTATTATTATTATTAATGGCTGTTGTATTTATGTCAATAGGATTGATTCAGTTGGGGTTTTGAGGTGTTTCCTGACAGAAATTCTGTTAACATTTGGAACATTTAAGGTTTATTTTTTATTTCATTTGCACTATGTATTTCTCTATCATGGATATTTTTAAACTTTCCATTGAACCCTTTTGTATTAGTATTCGGTTTACTAGAGCGAATGAGAGTTGTGTATTTTGTGGAGTTGTGTATTTTGTGGAGTTGTGTATGCATCAATAGGAGCATAGTGTCTAGATCTAGGGAAGTAATGCTACCCATCTATTCCGCTTTGGTTAGACCACACCTGGAATATTGTGTCCAATTCTGGGCACCACAATTCAAGAGAGATATTGACAAGCTGGAATGTGTCCAGAGGAGGGCGACTAAAATGATCAAGGGTCTGGAGAACAAGCCCTATGAGGAGGCTTAAGGAGCTGGGCATGTTTAGCCTTGAAGAAGAGAAGGCTGAGAGGAGATATGATAGCCATGTATAAATATGTGAGAGGAAGCCACAGGGAGGAGGGAGCAAGCTTGTTTTCTGCTTCTTGGAGACTAGGACGCGGAACAATGGCTTCAAACTACAAGAGAGGAGATTCCATCTGAACATGAGGAAGAACTTCCGAACTGTGAGAGCCGTTCAGCAGTGGAACTCTCTGCCCCGGAGTGTGGTGGAGGCTCCTTCTTTGGAAGCTTTTAAACAGAGGCTGGATGGCCATCTGTCAGGGGTGATTTGAATGCAATATTCCTGCGTCTTGGCAGAATGGGGTTGGACTGGATGGCCCATGATGTCTCTTCCAACTCTATGAATGCAATATTCCTGCTTCTCGGCAGGGGGTTGGACTGGATGGCCTATGAGGTCTCTTCCAAGGGTGGAGGCTCCTTCTTTGGAAGCTTTTAAACAGAGGCTGGATGGCCATCCGTCAGGGGTGATTTGAATGCAATATTCCTGCTTCTTGGCAGGGGGTTAGACTGGATGGCCCATGAGGTCTCTTCCAACTCTTTGATTCTATGATTTCGTGGTTGTGAAAGCCAAAAAAGGGGATTTTCAGTAGATGGTAGGGAAATAACCTCCTTTTTAACACAACCCTGTGTGTGTGTTGTGTTATAAATACATATGTTAAAATTTAAACCACTTTCTGGCTGAAGCGCCTCTTTACAGGAAGCCAGAAGTATGGATTGGGGTCAGGCTGAGGTGAAACAACATGGAGGCAGCTCCTTGAAAGAAACTGTTCAAGAAGAATCCCACCTAAATGTCGCCCTGCCCACTTTCTCGCACGGGCCAATCAGAGAGAAAACAAACCTCCCTCCATAAGGACTCCACCCCACTCAGACCCATCGTGAGTGCCACTGGATCCCCCACATACGACCTAGCAAAATTTCTTGCTGCACAGTTACAAAGCCATATTGGGCTCACTACACAGTACATCAAGGACTCAGCCCACTTCATAGAAAAAATCAGCAATCTCAAGCTAAATACCAACGACAAACTGATCAGCTTCAATGTGGTGTCTCTATTCACCATGGTCCCGGTAGCAGACACCATGGCACTCATCAACCAGAGGTTCCCAGAAGCCATCACAGCTCCGTTTCACCATTGCCTCACCACCAGTTAGTTTCAGAAGGACAATGAATTCTACGAACAGAAAGATGGAGTAGCTATGGGGAGCCCTCTCAGCCCGGTCATAGCTAACTTCTACATGGAACACTTTGAAAAACAAGCCCTGGAGACAGCAACCAAAAAGCCCACGATATGGTTCAGATATGTGGATGACACTTTCACCATTTGGAGCCATGGAGAAGAAGAACTCAACAGGTTCCTGGATCATCTTAACAGCATCCGCTCAAAAATCCAATTCACAATGGAAAAAGAAAATGAAGGAAGACTGCCTTTTCTAGATGTCCTAGTCATCCGCAAACCAGATCAACAATTGGGTCACACTGTCTACAGAAAACCCACACACACAGATAGATATCTACATAAAAACTCCAACCATCACCCAAGTCAAAAAAGAAGCACCATTAAAGCCTTGGCAGACCGTGCAAAAAGAATCTGCGAACCCCCCTCCTCCAAGATGAACTGAACCACCTCAACTGGGCTCTCCAGGCCAATGGAGACTCCACCTCAGACATCAGAAGAGCTGCAAGACCAAGAACAAGTCACGAGAATAAAGACAAAGATCCACCCAGAGGAAAAGTGTTCCTGCCATACATCAAGGGAACCACTGACCGCACAGGGAAGCTGATGAGGAAACACAACATACAAACAATCTACAAACCCACCAAGAAAATCCAACAAATGCTACGTTCAGCAAAGGACAAGAGGGATCCTCTCACCTCTGCAGGAGTCTACCGTATACCATGCAGCTGTGGACAAGTCTACATAGGGACCACCAAAGACAGCGCCCAAACACGAATCAAGGAACATGAAAGGCACTGCAGACTACTTCAACCAGAGAAGTCAGCCATAGCAGAGCACCTGATGAACCAGCCTGGACACAGCATATTATTAGAGAACAAAGAAATGCTGGACCACACCAACAACCACCATGTCAGACTACACGGAGAAGCCATTGAAATCCACAAGCATGTGGACAATTTCAACAGAAAGGAAGAGACCATGAAAATGAACAAAATCTGGCTACCAGTATTAAAAAACTCTAAAATTACAACAGCAAAACAGCAGAGAGGAAACAACTAGGCACATCTTAACACCTCTCAACAGAACATTTTCCCAGGCTCAGCCAGGCCTTCAAATGCTAATGAAGGTGGTCAGTTGAAACATTCACACCTAGCTCCAGCAGAGAAGAGCTCTTTGCCCCACCCCAGCCATTCCACAGATATATAAACGCCATTGTCCTAATTCCAACAGACCTCACTACCTCTGAGGATGCTTGCCATAGATGCAGGCGAAACGTCAGGAGAAATGCCTCTAGAACATGGCCCTATAGCCCGAAAAAACCTACAAGAACCTATTATTATTATTATTATTATTATTATTATTATTATTATTATTAATGGCTGTTGTATTTATGTCAATAGGATTGATTCAGTTGGGGTTTTGAGGTGTTTCCTGACAGAAATTCTGTTAACATTTGGAACATTTGAGATTTATTTTTTTATTCCATTTACACTATGTATTTCTCTATCACGGATATTTTTAAACTTTCCATTGAACCCTTTTGTATTAGTATTCGGTTTACTAGAGCGAATGAGAGTTGTGTATTTTGTGGAGTTGTGTATTTTGTGGAGTTGTGTATGCATCAATAGGAGCATAGTGTCTAGATCTAGGGAAGTCATGCTACCCCTCTATTCTGTTTTGGTTAGACCACATCTGGAATATTGTGTCCATTTCTGGGCACCACAATTCAAGAGAGATATTGACAAGCTGGAATGTGTCCAGAGGAGAACGACTAAAATGATAAAAGGTCTGGAGAACAAGCCCTATGAGGAGCGGCTTAAGGAGCTGGGCATGTTTAGCCTGAAGAAGAGAAAGCTGATGAGATATGATAGCCATGTATAAATATATGAGAGGAAGTCACGGAGGAGGGAGCAAGCTTGTTTTCTGCTTCCCTGGAGACTAGGACGCGGAACAATGGCTTCAAACTACAAGAGAGGAGATTCCATCTGAACATGAGGAAGACCTTCCTGACCGTGAGAGCCGTTCAGCAGTGGAACTCTCTGCCCCGGAGTGTGGTGGAGGCTCCTTCTTTGGAAGCTTTTAAACAGAGGCTGGATGGCCATCTGTCAGGGGTGCTTTGAATGCAATATTCCTGCTTCTTGGCCGAATGGGGTTGGACTGGATGGCCCATGAGGTCTCTTCCAACTCTATGATTCTATGATTTCGTGGTTGTGAAAGCCAAAAAAGGGGATTTTCAGCAGATGGTGGGGAAATAACCCCCTTTTCCACACAACCCTGTGTGTGTGTTGTGTTATAAATACATATGTTAAACTTTAAACCACTTCCTGACTGAAGCGCCTCTTTGCAGGAAGCCAGAAGTATGGATTGGGGTCAGGCTGAGGTGAAACAACATGGAGGCATCTCCTTGAAAGAAGCTGTTCAAGAAGAATCCCGCCTAAATGTCGCCCCGCCCACTTTATCGCGCGGGCCAATCAGAGAGAAAACACACCTCCCTCCTACTCTCCCTTCCCCCGCCCCCTCGCAAGTGAGCGTGACGTCACCGAAGGTGGGCGCTTGCTTTGAGCGACAGCGGCGAGAGCCAATGGGTTCCTCTGTGTTCTGTGCGACGGCGGGTGGAGGGCCAGTGACGCCATCACCGGCGGCCCAAGATGTCGAGCATCCTCAGCACGACTCTCAGCGGCCTCAACAGCGACTCGCACTGCAAGATCAGCTGCTACCGGGACCAGCGGTTCAAGGTGGGCGAAGGGGGCTCTTGTTGCTTCCTTGATGGGCAGTGGTGAGTTTTCCGGGCTGTCTGGCTATGTTCCAGAAGCATTCTCTCCTGACGTTTCGCCCACATCTATGGCAGGCATCCTCAGAGGTTGTGAGGTCTGTTAGAAAGAGAGATATTGACAAGCTGGAATGTGTCCAGAGGAGGGCGACTAAAATGATCAAGGGTCTGGAGAACAAGCCCTATGAGGAGCGGCTTAAGGAGCTGGGCATGTTTAGCCTGAAGAAGAGAAGGCTGAGAGGGGATATCATAGCCATGTATAAATATGTGAGAGGAAGCCACAGGGAGGAGGGAGCAAGCTTGTTTTCTGCTTCCCTGGAGACTAGGACGCGGAGACAATGGCTTCAAACTACAAGAGAGGAGATTCCATCTGAACATGAGGAAGAACTTCCTGACTGTGAGAGCCGTTCAGCAGTGGAACTCTCTGCCCCGGAGTGTGGTGGAGGCTCCTTCTTTGGAAGCTTTTAAACAGAGGCTGGATGGCCATCTGTCAGGGGTGATTTGAATGCAATATTCCTGCTTCTTGGCAGAATGGGGTTGGACTGGATGGCCCATGAGGTCTCTTCCATCTCTTTGATTCTATGATTCTAAGGAAAGTGGGGTTAGATATCTGTGGAATGTCCAGAGTGGGAGAAAGAACTCTGTTTGCAATTGGCCACATTGATTAGCATGAAATAGCCTTGCAGCTCCAAAGCCTGGCTGCCTCCTGCTTGGGGGATCCTTTGCTGAGAGGTGTTAGCTGGCCCTGATTGATTATTGTCTGGTATTCCCCTGCTTTCCGAGTGTTTATTTATTTATTTATTTACTTTGCTTGTATACCGCAGTTTCTCAGCCCGTAGGCGACTCAACGCGGTTCACAGCAGGAGCAAAAAGACAGTCATAACAATATAGCAATATACAATTTAAGACCATGAGAGCATAATATACAAACTAATGGCACATCAATAACAGCACATTAACGTCTCGTAACTAGAATCGTGATCCAATTCGTCGTTTATAATTCCGTTCCTATATTCATCATATTCATTGCACTGTTTATCCGAACGCCTGTTCAAACAGCCAGGTTTTTAGTTTTCTTCGAAACACCATTAACGTAGGAGCTGATCTAATGTCCATGGGAAGGGCGTTTCACAGCCGAGGGGCCACCACAGAGAAGGCCCTGTCCCTCGTCCCCGCCAGCCGTGCTTGTGATGCAGGCGGGATCGAGAGCAGGGCCTCCCCAGAAGATCTTAGAGTCCTGGTGGGTTCATAGGCAGAGATACGTTCGGATAGGTAGCTTGGGCCCGAACCGTTTAGGGCTTTATAGGCCAACGCCAGCACTTTGAATTGAGCCCGGTAGCAAATCGGCAGCCAGTGGAGCTGCAGCAGCAGAGGGGTTGTATGCTCCCTGTGCTCCGCTCCTGTTAGTATCATGGCTCTTTATTTACTGTTATGATTTTAGAATTTTTTAATACCAGATTTTGTTCATTTTCATGGTTTCCTCCTTTCTGTTAAAATTGTCCACATGCTTGTGGATTTCAATGGCTTCCCTGTGTAGTCAGACATGGTGGTTGTAACAGTGGTCCAGCATTTCTGTGTTCTCCAATGATATGCTGTGTCCAGGTTGGTTCATCAAGTGCTCTGCTATGGCTGATTTATCTTACTTGGGGGCCCTTATACATAGCCCTTTAATTTTTTTTAATCGTGTCAGGAGCGACTTGAGAAACTGCAATTCGCTTCTAGTATGAGAGAATTGGCTGTCTGCAAGGACATTGCCCAGGGGACGCATGGATGATTTGATGTTTTTATCATCCTTCTGGGAGGCTTCTCTCATGTCTCCGCATGAGGAGCTGGAGCTGATAGAGAGAGCTCATCTGCCTCTCCCCAGATTCGAATTTAATAATAATAATAGTAATAAAACTTTATTTATATACCGCTCCATCTCCCCGAGGGGACTCAGAGCGGTTCCCAGGTAACATCACAAAACATCAGAGTAAAAAAACATCATCACCATAAGATTAACAAAACAAAATATAAGCATAAAAATTGTTGCCATAACACACATATATTAAAAGTAATCCTGCCTGTTCAAGGCAATTAAAAATTTAAAAGGCAGAGCCAAGATTTGTGCAAGTGCAAACATTCTAGGGGGCCCAGGAATTAAGTGCAATGCTATGGCAGGAAACAATAATATTAGGTACCGGTCCGTGGCTGTTCATTCCGGGGCCGATTAGAGGAAAGAATCAGGGTAATTGGTAGGAAGAATAAGGCCGTATTTGACAATGTGTGGGGCTGAGTTAGAACTGGTCATTTTCAAAGGCTTGTTGAAACCACCAGGTCTTCAAGGTCTTACGAAAGGAGGGGAGGGATGGGGCCTGTCTTATTTCCCTTGGAAGGGTGTTCCAGAGGAGGGGGGCCACCACTGAGAAGGCCCTCTCTCTCCCCACCAACTGCGCTTGAGACAGTAGTGGGACCGAGAAGAGGGCCTCCCCGGAAGATCCCAGAATATCAAGGCAGAAAATCCCATATTATCAGAGTATATTCTGGGATATAGGATTGTGTGGAAGAAGCCTAAGAAAGCCTTTAACTAAAGACAGTATTTGTCAGGGCTGGGTTGAGTTTTAAGGTTTATAATTTGTATATCAAACGGGTTTTATACGGGGAAATGGTAACAGGTTTATGAATATGTGCTTTTAACCATGTTTTAACTTTTTACTGTATGTTTTTATTTTGTTGTAAGCCGCCTTCAGTCCACTTGAGGAGAAAGGTGGGGTAGAAATATCTCAATTATATATACAAATAAAGCTATATCTGTTCCTGAACTGATATCCACTGACAGAATTACAGTATAACACCATATCATGATGTAAACATCAACGAAGCAATGTATTATCGAAGGCTTTCATGGCTGGAATCACTGGGTGGTTGTGAGTTTTCTGGGCTGTATGGCCATGTTCCTGAAGCATTCTCTCCTAACGTTTCACCTGCATCTATGTCAGGCATCTTCAGAGTTTCCCATAGACCTCACAACCTCTGAGGATGCCTGCCATAGATGTAGGCACAATGTTAGGTGAGAATGTTTCAGGAACATAGCCCATCAGTGAACCAGCTATATGATGACTATGGGATTCGTGCAACGTTCAATGTTTTATTATCTATACATGTACAATGTTTTAATAGTTTAATTTGTATTGTTTATTGATTTTAGTTGAGTATGTTCCATATTGTTTTTTGTATGTATATTGTGGCATTAAATTCTGCCAAACTGTAAGCTGCTCTTGAGTCTCCCTTGAGGTAAGAGAGAGCAGGGAAGAAGCATAGTAAATTAATCAATAAATAAACTTTTTGTTTGAGAGTTTCCTGGGATGAACTTACCCAACCATATAACCCAGAATATTAGGCATAAAATCCCACAATATCTGCTTTGAACTGGGTTATCTGAGTTAACACTGCCATGTATTCCAGTTCAAACCAGATAATGTGGGATGTTATTCAGCTGTGTGGAAGGGGTCCTAGTCTCTAGAGCAGCAGAAAGGAAGTCTCTTCCCTCTTCCTTATCACAGACTTTTGATATACAAACATAGCTATAATTTCTTTGTTAACTGAGACACTGGTTGCCGATCAGCTTCCGAGCACAATTCAAAGTGCTGGTTTTAACCTTTAAAGCTCTAAACAGTTCTGGCCCAGACCACATGTCTGAACGTATCTCCTACTACAAATCATCACGAAGTTTAAGATCACCTGGAGAGGCCCTGCTCTCAATCCCACTGCTGTCGTAAACACTATTGGTGGAGACGAGAGACAGGGCCTTCTCAACAGTGGCTCCCCATCTGTGGAATTCACTCCCCAAAGACATCAGACTGGCCACCTCCCTCCTGTCCTTTAGAAGGAAACTCAAGACTTGGCTGTGGGACCTTGCATTTGACCATTGAACAGTGGCTTGTATGAAGAAGACATAAGCAATTTCGAAGTGACAATGAATTGACCCGGACCGAGATTTTAATTGGCGTGTTTTAACACTTACTTATTTAATTTTTTGTTTTAATGAATGTGTTGATTGTTCTTATCATTATGATGGCACCGAATGGTGTTTGCTGTGAGGCCGCCCTGAGTCCCCCCTCGGGGGTGAGAAGGGCGGGGTACAAGTATATGAAATAAATAAATAAAATAAAATTTGATGGCTAAAAAATCTGTCATTAGATGCTTGCTGAAGGGAATCAGATATGTAACCCTGCCTTCTCTGTCCCCTTCTTTCAGCCTTCTCTTCTGAGGCTGAACCTATGACTAGGCCTCATCATGAGGTCCATCTCTGGTAAGGCGTGTGACCCTGACTCTGTGCCTCTACCCTCTGCTTTGTTTCCAGGGAAGCTGCTACCTGCAGGAGAAGGCCCTGAAGGCCTCCACCACACTCTACGTAGGCAACCTCTCCTTCTACACCACGGAGGAGCAAATCCACGAGCTCTTCTCCAAGTGCGGGGACGTCAAGCGCATCGTCATGGGTCTGGACAAGCTCAAGAAGACACCCTGTGGCTTCTGCTTTGTGGAGTATCCTTGACCTGCGTTGCTCTTGGCAAGATGTGGATCCTTTGGTTGACCGTATAAGTCTACACTTTCAAAAAATGAACCACACACCCACCCTATGTACTCAAATCTAATGCTCACCTTTTGGTACTAAATTTCCTCATCAGAATTAGGTTATGCATGAGGGGAAGCTGCTTCAGGAGCTCCTCTTTGAGGGGTCGCATCCCATCTCTCATTTAATGGCTATGACACAATGCTATGCCATCCTGAGATTTATAGTTTGGTGGCATCAGCATTCTTTGACAGAGAAAGCTCAAGCCTTGTCAAACTACAGCTCCCGTGACTCCTTAGCATTGAACTAAGGCAATTCAGCTGGATTCCAAGTCTAAACGTGAAATTTATTTTATGTTTCATATATACCTTATTTAACATAGCCAGAAGGTAGTTTTTATAGAAGGTATGAGCACACTTTGGCCCTCCAGGTGTTTTGGACTTCCACAATTTCTAACAGGAATTGTAGGAGTTGGTCCAAAACACGTTGAGGGCTGAAGTTTGCCCAGGCTTGTTTTATAGGATATTTTAAATAGTTTGGGACCTGGAACAGTTTGTGTAGCAACATAAAACAGAAGTGTCACAATGGCAATCACCCAGGTGTGCAATTTGGGGCTGTCATAATTTTAGATGAGGCTTGACCTCGGCAATAATCATTATGCAGGGGTTCCTTGGGACCAAATTATTTCAGCTTGAACCTTAGGATGAACTTCCTAATTGTGTGAAGAGCTGTTCAACAGTGGAACTCTCTGCCTCGGAGTCCGGTGGGGGCTTCTTCTTTGGAAATTTTTAAACAGAGGCTGGATGGGCATCTGTCGGGAAGGCTTTGATTGTGCTTTTCCTGCATGGAAGCAGAAAGGAGTTGGACTGGATAGCCCCTGGTGTCTCTTCTAATTCTTATGATTCTGTGGAGTCCTTAAAAGAAACAGCTTTCTGGGATGCTGTGAGTTTTCTGGGCTGTCTGGCCATGTTCCAGAAGCATTCTCTCCTGACCTTTCACCTACATCTATGGCAGGCATCATCAGAGGTTGTGAGGTCTGTTGGAAATAAGGCAAGTGAGGTTTATATATCTGTGGAGCAATGTCCAGGGTGGGAGAAAGAACTCTTGTCTGCTTGAGGCAAGTGTAAATGTTGCAATTGGCCAGATTTCTGGGATTTTGTCATGAGTAGCCTAAAGGTTCTGTTCACTGGGATCACATTGACCATACAAATGTTCATTGGTTAGTATCACAGTACTGGATCTTGAAGTACTGGGTGCAGATGCTTTGGAGCCCAGCTCTTGGGTGGGTTTTTCCTTGGCCTTTCTCTGCTCCTCTTCCTTTCGAGATTTCCCCGGAGTCTCCCTTAAGCCAACACAAAAGATACTACACAAGAGCCGAAGCGGAGCATGCCATGCGCTACATCGATGGGACCCGGCTGGATGACCGTATCATCCGGACAGACTGGGACGCTGGCTTCAAGGAGGGTCGCCAGTTCGGCCGCGGCAAAACAGGGGGCCAGGTAGGGACCTCTTGTGCCATCCGAAATGTCTGCAGAAATGAAAACAATTACTGTATATACTCGAGTATAAGCCGACCCAAATATTACCGAGGCATCTGATTTTATCATAAAAAACTGGGAAAACGTATTGACGCGAGTATAAGCCGAGGGTGGGAAATGCAGCAACTACTGGTAAATTTCAAAATAAAAATAGATACCAATAAAATTACATGAATTGAGTCATCAGTAGGTTAAATGCCTTTGAATATTTGCATAAAATTGTAATTTAAGACAAGACTGTCCAACTTTGATTAAATCTCCTTCAATGTAAATATGCTTACGTATACTTCCAATAATAATGAAGAGAGTAAAATAATAAATTTAATAAAAATAATAATAGCATAAAATCATGGAAATGTAATAATAACAGTAATAATAGAGTAAAATAATAAAAGTAATAAAATAATAAATGTAATAAAATAATAATAGAGTAAAATAATATAAATATAATAAAATAATAATAGAGTAAAATAATATAAATATAATAATAATAGAGTAAAATAATAAATAATAATGGAGTAAAATTATAAATGTAATAATAATAACAACAACAACAGAGTAAAATAATAAATAACTTTGACTCAAGTATAAGCTGAGGGGGGCTTTTCCAGGCTAAAAAAAGGGTTGAAAAACTCAGCTTATATTTAAGTATATATGGTGCACACTTCAGCTTTTTTATTAGCATTTTAAAGACGTGGCATCAACAAGCTTAACCAGTAAACAATATATCAGAGATCCAGCACAATCAGATGCATTATGTTTTCTTGTTTTGACCTAGCTGGGTCTATACTGCCATATCATCCAGTTTCAGAAGGCAGTTTAACAGCATTGAATTGGATTACATGGCGGTGTAGACTCATATACTCTAGTTCAATGCTGTTAATCTACCTTCTGAAACTGCATTATATAGTAGTATAGATCCAGCTCCAACTGACACAAGAAGAACCATAATAGAATATTATTCCAAAAATCAGTGGAGAGAAAAAAAACTTTTTATTAGTTTAAGTAATGCTGTTTTACATAAAATTTGGAGTGATGTTATTATCTCTAATAACCTGTACTTAGGCTGTGAAAGGCGATCTTTTAATGAACTTGCAATGATTTTATCTTCACTAATTGTTTTAAATGGGTGAAGTTTAAGCATGCTTGTAGCTGTCTTTCCTGCCGGTTGTTTGGTGTCTCATGTTGGTGAAATGAGCTGAAAGCTGTATCCTTGTCGCCGTAATAGGCTTGTGTGATATCTCTCTCGGCTTGCATTAGGTCAGAGACGAATACCGAAGGGACTACGACGTGGGGAGAGGTGGCTTTGGGAAGATCATTCAAATGGAAAAGGCGAACCAACAGACCGCCATCTATTGACAGTTTCAGGGATCATCGAAGGGGATGGGAGTCAGGAAGAAGGCAGGATTCAGAGGAAGAAGATGGTTTTCTGGAAAATGCCACCTGCATTTCTGGCATCTCAGGGCCCTTTCATGCTGGATAATGTGTCGTTGCGGACCCGTTTTGCTCGTGTTGAAATCCCAAGAGGACAAGTGTTGCTGGTAATTGATTTACGAGGAGGCTGGGGAGGGTATTTGCTGCCCTTTTGCGGTAGCTGCCATTCCCGCCATCTACTGGATTATACTGGTTTTGTTTTTCTAACAGCAAGAGAATCCCAATAAATGACATTTTACAATATTATTGCCAACTGTGACCTGTCTGGGATCGGGGAGAGAAGTGCAATGGAAGGAGCACAGCAATGGCTGTCATGAAACCCGAGCACAGTGTTTCTCAACCTGGGAGTTGGGACCCCTGTTGGGGGGATCACGAGGGGCTTTCAGAGGGGGTTTTCAGAGTTGTCGTTGGTGGGGTTCAGAATGCTTTTTGATTGTAGGTGAACTATAAATCCCAGCAAATACAACTCGCAAATGTCAAGGTCTATCTTCCTCTAACTCCACCAGTGTTCACATTTGGGCATATTGAGTATTCGTGCCAAGTTTGGTCCAGATCCATCATTTTTTGAGTCCACAGTGCTTTTTGGATGTGGGTGAACTACAACTTCCAAAATCAAGGTCAATGCCCACCAAACCTTTCCATTATTTTCTGTTGGTCATGGGAGTTCTGTGTGCCAAGTTTGGTTCAATTCCATCATTGGTGGAGTTCAGAATGCTCTTTGATTGTAGGTGAACTATAAATCCCAGCAACTACAACTCCCAAATGTCAAGGTCTATTTTCCTCTAACTCCACCAGCGTTCACATTTGGGCATATTGAGTATTCGTTCCAAGCTTGGTCCAGATCCATCATTTTTTTGAGTCCACAGTGCTTTTTGTATGTAGATGAACTACAACTCCCAAACTCAAGGTCAATGCCCACCAAACCATTCCATTATTTTTTGTTGGTCATGGGAGTTCTGTGTGCCAAGTTTGGTTCAATTCCATCATTGGTGGAGTTCAGAATGCTCTTCGATTGTAGGTGAACTGTAAATCCCAGCAACTACAAGGCAGTTACAAAGGATGGCTTGAGATTAGGAACCCCTGCTAGTTCTCCATAGGACAACCTTTCCATCCTTCAAATTCAGAGCATTAATCATAATGTGAGTCACTTGCCAACTCTATAATAAAGCACCTTTCCCATTTTCAGAGTTGGCAAATGACCCACATTATGATTAATGCTCTGGATTTGAAGGATGGAAAGGTTGTCCTATGGAGAACTAGCAGGGGTTCCTAATCTCAAGGGATGCCTCCAGTTCAACTGTATGAAACAGTGTGTCTCAATCTGGGGGTCGCGAGGGGGTTTCAGAGGGGTTGCCAAAGACCATCAGAAATCATATCTTTCTGATGGTCTTAGCAACCCATTTGGCAGAGAAAGCTGAAGATCTCTCTGCCTGTCCCACTCTTCTTTTTTGGAAATAGACGGTGAATCCTCCCACCAAAAGCCCTCCCCTGCTGTGATAGGCTGGCCTCTCGGCCAAAGGGACAACTGTTTCTGAGACTCAAAGCAAGGAGATGAGAGCAGGTGTGCTTGTTGCATGGCAGCGTAATGCGCATGTGCAGGTGATGGAGGGAGGCTCACATTAGTGAGTCCCTTCAAGTCATGGGGGTTTGTGGGAAGTTTGCCCCCATTCTTGGTGGGGTTCAGAATGCTCTTTGATTACAGGTGAACTATAAATCCTAGCAACTACAACTCCCAAATGTCAAGGTCTATTTCCCCTAAACTCCACCAGTATTCACATTTGGGCATATTGAGTCTTTGTGTCAAGTTTGGTTCAGATCCATCATTGTTTGAGTCTACAGTGCTCTCTGGATCTAAGTGAACTACATAACTCAAGGTCCATGCCCACCAAACCCTTCCAGGATTTTCTGTTGGTCATGGGAGTTCTGTGTCCCAAGTTTGGTTCTACTCCATTGTTGGTGGAGTTCCGAATGCTCTTTGATTGTAGGCGAACTATAAATCCCAGCAACTACAATTCCCAAAATACAAAATCAACCATTCCTCCAGAACCCCACCATCATTCAAATCTGGGCATATTGGGTATTCGTGCCAACTTTGGTCCAGATCTGTCATTGTTTGAGTCCACAGTGCTCTCTGGATGTAGGTGAACTACAACTCCATAACTCAAGGTCCATGCCCACCATACCCTTCCAGTATTTTCTATTTGGTCATGGGAGTTCTGTGTCCCAAGTTTGGTTCTACTCCATTGTTGGTGGAGTTCAGAATGCTCTTTGATTATAGGTGAACTATAAATCCCAGCAACTACAACTCCCAAATTACAAAATCAATCCCAACTTCACCAGTATTCAAATTTGGGCATATCAGGTATTTGTGCCAAATGTGGTCCAGTGAATGAAAATACATCCTGCATATAAGTTTAAATAATAATAATAATAATAATAATAATAATAATAATAATAATATCAGATATTCATATTATGATTCATAACAGTAGCGAAATTACAGTTATGAAGTAGCATTTTTTTTGTCGTGTCAGGAGCAACTTGAAAAACTGCAAGTCGCTTCTGGTGTGAGAGAATTGGCCGTCTGCAAGGACGTTGCCCAGGGGACGCCCAGATGATTTGATGTTTTTATCATCCTTGTGGGAGGCTTCTCTCATGTCCCCGCATGAGGAGCTGGAGCTGATAGAGGGAGCTCATCCGCCTGTCCCCAGATTTGAACCTGCGACCTGTCGGTCTTCAGTCCTGCCGGCACAGGGGTTTAACCCACTGTGCCACCGGGGGCTCCATGAAGTAGCAATGAAAATAATGTTATGGTTGGGGGTCACCACAACATGAACTGTTTTAAGGGGTCACAGCATTAGGAAAGCTGAGAAACACTGCCCTAGCATCTCAGTGCTGGAAGGGGACCCCAAGGGCTATCTAGTCCAACCCCATTCCACCCTGCATTCGTAGAGCATTCCAGAAAGAGGCCCATCCAGTTTCTGTTAAAGGACTTGCACAGGTGGAGGCCGCAGCACCCTCTGCAGCAATGTATTCCCTTGTGGTACAGCTCTTGGAGGGAAAAAGGTTTGGGTGGAATCTCTCTGAATTGGTGCATTTTGAGTCTACTAAGCTTTTGACCTGTGCAGATTCATTTTCTTCAGTGGGACACATGCATTTCTGCCTCCCCATGTTGTTTAAGCTGAAACAATGTTTGACTTTTCTGTTTGTTTTCGTGCTGGAGCGGTGTGCAGAAGTATTTAAGCACAAAAACCAGATGGAAGATGTTTCCCAGCAGGAAATTCCCTAAGGCTACTGTCTGAATGTGATTTGCCTTTTCTGGGTTCTTGCATCAGCCTTTTCTCATCTCCCTCCCCTCCAAACCCCATTAGCAATTAATTTTCCAGGAAATTCCATGTTGTTTATTGGCCTGGACGCTCTGTCTTCCACTAGTTGCACAGAGATGGAGGCTGTGCCCTCAAACGCCTCCATTGTTAATGTTCAACCCATAGATGTGCCCATTCTTCATTAACTAATGAGGTAGATCGTTTTCKAGGAGGGAGAACTAATGCCTGGGAATCAGGCACAAACAGGATTCTTCCTTTGGAGGCAAAGGGCCCTCTGGCAGTCTCTCAAGACGCTACCAATGTAAAATTCCTGGACGGCAACTTCCATGGAAGAAAGCCACGCTGCTCAGTGATGCGTTTGGGGGATTGTAGTAAAAAGATCATATTTCCAATGTCAGTTCAGTCATAGTTCTACCACTTCCCCACACCGGAATGAAAGTTGCCACCTCTTCTGGATGTTGTTAACTACTGCAGTGAAAAGGTTTGGGGGCAAGTGAACCACCGCTTTGAGTCTCCTTTGTGGACACAAAAGGGAGAGTATAAATAATACACATAATAATAATAATAATAATAATAATAATAATAATAATTATTATTATTATTATTATTTTACAAGTCAAACAAGCAGTTAAAGAAGAAAAACACGCCCTGGCAGAATATGTCAAGGAAAGTCAAGAACCTGCTTTAATTGAAGTCAATAATCAGAAACTTCTCAAAGCACAGCAGACAAAGAGTCAGTACAAGAAAACTGCACTCCAAACCAGAGCTGAGAGCTGGCACAACAAAGCCTTCCATGGGCAGTTCCTTGAGAAGATTGAAGGAAAAGTTGACAAGGAGAAGACCTGGTGATGGCTCATAAATGGAATCCTGAAGAAGGAGACAGAGGAAGGCCTGATTCTTGTAGGCCAGGAGCAAGCCATCAGAACCAATGCAATTAAGGCCAAGATTGAAAAATCAGCGGATGACCCAAAATGCAGACTGTGCAAGGAAGCTGATGAAATCATGGACCATCTCCTCAGCTGTTGCAAGAAAATCGCACAGACGGACTACAAACAAAGACATAACTCTGTGGCCCAGATTTTTTTTTTGTTGTGTCAGGAGCGACTTGAGAAACTGCAAGTCGCTTTTGATGTGAGAGACTTGGCCGTCTGCAAGGACGTTGCCCAGGAGATGCCCGGATGTTTTGATGCTTTTATCATCCTTGTTGCCCAGATGATTCACTGGCACTTATGTCACAAGTACCACCTGCCAGCAGAAAAGAATTGGTGGGATCATAAATCTGCAAAGGTAGTAGAAAATGAACATGCAAAAATACTGTGGGACTTTCGAATCCAGACTGATAGTTTTGGAACACAATACACCAGACATCACGACTGTGGAAAAGAAAAAAGCCTGGATTATCGATGTCGCCATACTGGGTGACAGTCTCATTGAGGAAAAATAACAGGAAAAACTCAGCCGCTATCAAGACCTCAAAATGGAACTGCAAAGGCTCTGGCATAAACCAGTACAGGGGGTCCCAGTGGTCATTGGCGCACTGGATGCCATGCCAAAAGATCTCAGCCGGCATTTGGAAACAATAAACATCGACAAAATCATGATCTGTCAACTACAAAAGGCTACCTTACTTGGATCTGCGCACATCATTTGAAAATACATCACACAGTCCTAGACGCTTGGGAAGTGTTTGACTTGTGATTTTGTGATACGAAATCCAGCATAGAGATCTCGTTTGCTGTGACGTACTGTGCTTTTGTATCAATAGTAATAATAATAATAAATACTGTGACTAACAACTTGTTGCAATAGCTGGGACTGGAGACCCAGGTGTCAGTTCCTATCAGGAATGCCACTTCCTTTGACGAAATAATCATTATAACAGTATATAACAAAATTTGAAAAATGTTCTATTCCTGGTTTGAAAGTTTTATTTCTTGTTAAATTGTGCAGTCCTTACTTTGAAAGTACCGTAGTTGTTCTACTCCAGAAACTTTGTTTTTCTTGCTGCCACAAACCAGGTTGAATTGATTGAGACTTGATGAAAGATTAATTGAAAACTTATCGCAAAATGTACTATAGAATGACCAGGGTGGGGCAAAGGACTTTTGTCTGCTGTGAATGTTTCAACTGACCACCTTGATTAGCATTTAATGGCTTTGAAAGTGCCTGGGGGGAATCTTTTGTTGAGAGTGATTTGATGTGCCTAGCTCCAGCAGACAAAAGTCCTTTGTCCCACCCTGGTCATTCCACAGATATATAAATATTTATTATTTATTTATTTGCTTTATTTGTATACCGCATTTTTCAGCCTATACAGGCGACTCAATGCGGTTTACATGGTACAGGTTATCGCAACAATGTCAGTGCAATTAAAACACAACAAATATAACAACAAAATCAATAGCATCAATCAACAACCATTAACAAATCAAACATCGCCTCCGTGAAATCAGATCCGTTCTCATAATCCTTGTGCCATTCCTATGTTCCCTTTACCGTCTTCCTATGTTCGGTTGCACTGTTTAACCAAACGCTTGTTCATAAAGTCAAGTCTTGACCTTTCTCCGAAACGCCAGCACGAAGGTGCCTGTCTGATGTCTGCTGGTAAGGCATTCCATAGCCGAGGGGCCACCACTGAGAAGGCCCTGTCTCTCGTCCCCGCCAAACGCGCCTGCGATGCAGGCGGGACCGAGAGCAGGGCCTCCCCAGACGATCTTAATGTTCTAGTCGGTTCATAGGTGGAGATGCGTTCGGAGAGGTAAGTGGGGCCAGAACCGTTTAGGGCTTTATAGGCTAAAGCCAGCACCTTGAATTGTGCCCATGTTCCTACTTCCAACAGACCTCACTACCTGTGAGGATGCTTGCCATAGATCAGTGTTTCTCAACCTGGGGGTCGGGACCCCTGTGGGGGTCGCGAGGGGGTGTCAGAGGGGTTGCCGAAGACCATCAGAAAATACAGTATTTTCTGTTGATCATGGGGGTTCTGTGTGGGAAGGTTGGCTCAATTCTATCATTGGTGGGGTTCAGAATGCTCTATGTAGGTGAACTATAAATCCCAGCAGCTACAACTTCCAAATGTCAAAGTCAATTTTCCTCAAACTCCACCAGTGTTCACATTTGGGCATATTGAGTATTCATGCCCAGTTTGGTCCAGATCCAACATTGTTTTAGTCTACAGTGCTCTCTGAATGTAGGTGAACTACAACTCCCAAACTTAAGGTCAATGCCCACCAAACCCTTTCAGTAATTTCTGTTGGTCATGGAAGTTCTATGTTCCAAGTATGGTTCAGTTCCATCATTGGTGGAGTTCAGAATGTTCTTTGATTGTAGGTGAACTATAAATCCCAGCAACTACAACTCCCAAATGGCAAAATCAACCCCTCCCTAAACCCCACCAGTATTCCAATTTGGGCGTATTGGGTATTTGTGCCGAATTTGGTCCAGTGAATGAAAATACATCCTGGATATCTGATATTTACATTACAATTAATAACAGTAGCAAAATTACAGTTATGAAGTAACAACGAAAATGATTTTATGGCTGGGGGTCACCACAACATGAGGAACTGTATTAAGGGGTCACAGCGTTAGGAAGGTTGAGAACCACTGCCATAGATGCAGGCGAAACGTCAGGAGAAAATGCCTCCAAAACATGGCCATACAGCCCGGAAAAACCTACAACAACCCAGTGATTCAGGCCATGAAAGCCTTCAACAACAACAACAACAACAATAATAATAATAATAATAATTATTATTATTATTCCAGCTGAAAAGGTCTGACCAAAGCAAAAGAGAGGAGCATCATAACTTTCCTTGATCTGGGCACTAGGCTCTTTAGTCCAGAATCCCATTGGCTTTTCTAAAAATCTACTTTCAACTGGAATAAACAAACTACAAAACTATTATAATCTAAGGTCTCATAGCAACCCTATTTGTTAACATGGGGGAAAAGAAGGCCAGATGGAAGCAAACCCGTTTGGCTTCTTCCTTAGAGGCTTCCCAGGTTCAAAGGCATGTGCTGATGACAGCCAGGGAGGGCTTGCATCAGAGGCAGGGCATGCTGGGAAATGTAGTTCTGGGAGCTCAGCCATGCTTCCTTGTTGCAAAAGGAGGCTGTTTGTTGTCTTTCCAAAATAAATAGAGCAGGCATGGGCAAACTTGGGCCCTCCGGGTGTTTTGGACTTCAACTCCCACAATTCCTAACAGCCTACCGGCTGTTAGGAATTGTGGGAGTTGAAGTCCAAAACACCTGGAGGGCCCAAGTTTGCCCATGCCTGGAAGCCGAGACACGTGTCTGCCCTTGACACGCGTCTGCTGCGTTCCCACGTGCCAGATGGGGAGCCAGCTCTCTTTGGCCCCGCCCCTAACAGCCAGAAGGGGGCGTGGCTTGCCTCCCTCCCTCCTTTCAAAGGCAACGCGCCTCGCTTTCGCCTTCCTTTCCGCTTCTGTCCGCGGCTGGAGAAGGAAGAGGAAGAGGAAGAGGAAGCAGCAGCGCCAGCCATCGAGGAAGGTGAGCAGGTAAGGCGGGGGAAATGGGGATCTCCCTTTTTTGAGTGTGTGAATATGTGTGGGTCTCTATCTGTCCCCCTTTTGCAACAGGTGCAGACCCCTCCAACTCCCCTTCTAACCACTTGGGCCATCCGGTCCAACCCCCTTCTGCCTTCATGCAGGAATAGCACAATCAAAGCACCCCCGACAGATGGCCATGCAACCTCAATAACAACAACAGTATAGTTGGAAGAGACCCCAATGGCCATCCAGTCCAACCCCCTTCTGCCTTCATGCAGGAATAGCACAATCAAAGCACCACCGACAGATGGCCATGCAACCTCAATAACAACAACAACAGTATAGTTGGAAGAGACCCCAATGGCCATCCAGTCCAACCCCCTTCTGCCTTCATGCAGGAATAGCACAATCAAAGCATCCCCGACAGATGGCCATGCAACCTCAATAACAACAACAGTATAGTTGGAAGAGACCCCAATGGCCATCCAGTCCAACCCCCTTCTGCCTTCATGCAGGAATAGCACAATCAAAGCATCCCCGACAGATGGCCATGCAACCTCAATAACAACAACAGTATAGTTGGAAGAGACCCCAATGGCCATCCAGTCCAACCCCCTTCTGCCTTCATGCAGGAATAGCACAATCAAAGCACCACCGACAGATGGCCATGCAACCTCAATAACAACAACAACAGTATAGTTGGAAGAGACCCCAATGGCCATCCAGTCCAACCCCCTTCTGCCTTCATGCAGGAATAGCACAATCAAAGCATCCCCGACAGATGGCCATGCAACCTCAATAACAACAACAGTATAGTTGGAAGAGACCCCAATGGCCATCCAGTCCAACCCCCTTCTGCCTTCATGCAGGAATAGCACAATCAAAGCAGATGGCCAGCCACCCGTAATAATAATAATAATAATAATAATAATAATAATAATAATAATAGTTGGAAGAGGCCCCAAGTTTCATCCAGTCCAACCCCCTTCTGCCTTCATGCAGGAAAAACACAATCAAAGCACCCCTGACAGATGGCCATCCAAACTCAATAATAATAATATAGTTGGAAGAGACTCCAAGCTCATCCAGTCCAACCTTCTTCTGTCTTCTTGCAGGAATAGCACAATCAAAGTACCCCTGACAGATGGCCATGCAACCTCAATCATCATCATCATCATCATCATCATCATCATCATCATCAAGCAGTCTAGACAGATAGCCGTCTAACCTCAATAATAATAATAATAATAATAATAATAATATAGTTGGAAGAGTCCCCAAGCCCATCCAGTCCAATCTCCTTCTGTCTTCTTGCAGGGAAAGCACAATCAAAGCAGTCTAGACAGATGGCCATGCAACCTCAATAATAATAATAATAATAATAATATTTATTTATTTATTTAATACACTTGTATACCGCTAATATCTCAGCCTGGATCGGCGACTCATTGCGGTTTACAGCAATTAAAAAAACAGTCTCCAATTTAAAAACATATACACATACAGTACAGATTATTGGGCCACCAATAATAATCCCATGTATCTCGAATTAAAATCATAATCCAGAATTCGTTGTCCATATTTTCCTGTCCTTAGTCACCAAAATTCGATTGCCACAGATTAGCCGAATGCTTGTTTAAACAACCATGTTTTCAATCTCTTCCTAAACACCATCAGCGAAGAGGCTGATCGTACCTCTATAGGGAGGGTGTTCCAAAGCCGGGGGGCCACCACAGAGAAGGCCCTGTCTCTCGTTCCCGCCAGCCGCACTTCTGAAGCTGGAGGGATAGAGAGAAGGGACTCTCCAGAAGATCTTAGGGTCCTGGTGGGCTGATAGGCTGAGATACGTTCGGATAGATAAGTTGGGCCAGAACCGTTTAGGGCTTTAAAGGCCAACGCCAGCACTTTGAATTGAGCCCGGTAGCATATCGGCAGCCAGTGGAGCTGGTTCAGCAGAGGAGTTGTATGCTCCCTGCGCCCCGCTCCTGTTAGAATCATGGCTGCCGCCCGTTGGACTAGTTGGAGCTTCCGGACTGTCTTCAAAGGCACCCCCCACGTAGAGAGCGTTGCAGTAATCAAGGCGGGATGTAACCAGAGCGTGGACGAAACCCTAAAGCCCATTCTGTCCAGCCATCCAAACTCAATAATAATAATAATAATAATAATAATAATAATAATACAGTTGGAAGAAACCCTAAAGTCCATTCAGTCCAGCCATCCAAACTCTAATAATAATAATAATAATAATAATAATAATAATATAGTTGGAAGAGACCCCAAGTCTCATCCAGTCCAACTCCCTTCTGCCTTCGTGCAGGAAAAGCACAAGCAAAGCACCCCCGACAGATGGCCATCCAAATTCAATAATAATAATAATAATAATAATAATAATAATAATACAGTTGGAAGAAACCCTAAGGCCCATTCAGTCCAGCCCCCTTCTTCCTTCATGCAGGAAAAGCACAATCAAAGCACCCCTGACAGATGGCCATCCAAACTCAACAATAATAATAACAAAGCAGTTTAGATAGATGGCCGTCTAACCTCAATAATAATAATAATAATAATAGAGTTGGAAGAGAACCCAAGCCCATCCAGTCCCCCCAAAAAAGCACAATCAAAGCACCCCCGAGAGTTGGCCATACAAACATAATAATAATAATAATAATAATAATAATAATAATAATAATAATAAAGCAGTCTAAACAGATGGCCGTCTAACCTCAATAATAATAATAATAATAATAATAATAATAATAATAATAATAATAATAATATAGTTGGAAGAGACTCCAAGCCCATCCAGTCCAACCTCCTTCTGTCTTCTTGCAGGAAAAGCACAATCAAAGCACTCTGGACAGATGGCCAGCCAACCACAACAACAACAACAACAACAACAACAATAATAATAATAATAATAATATAGTGGATGAGACTCCAAGGCCCATCCAGTCCAAACCCCTTCTGTCAGGCAGAAAAAGCACCATTAAAGCCCTCCTGGCAGATGGCTACCCAGCCTCTGTTTCAATGCCCCCAAGGGACAAGCTTCCACTGGACTCGGAAGCAGAGAGTTCCACTGCTGAAAAGCTCTCCTTACAGTCAGGAAGAGAGAAAGGCACATCTCGGAGAGGGGCTCCTATTCTTTGCTGTTGGGTTTTATATCAGTTTACAGGAATCTGGAGGGCAGAGCTGCTCCATGCAGTGGCCATTGAACACTTGGTTCCTGGAAACAATTCCACGGAAGGATTGCTGGCAAAGGATAGATCCAAGAGGGACAAAGAGGGGGGCAGCTCCTTGCAGATGTATTGGGGGGGATCTGATGATGACCTGAATAGGCAACCAGTCGATCAAATGCCACTTACACCAAGTGGTTAGCGGTCCTCCTTTCAACACCTGGCAGGAAGGCGCACAGGTAAGGGCTGCCAAGAAGGGCGGCTTCTCTTCCAGCTTGTTGCCTCAGGGAAGGCTGGGACAACCCACCATTGGGAGGAAGCTTTCCCTTCCTTCCTGGAGACTAGGACTCAATGGAGTCCTTCAGAATACCAAATATCACCTGAACATTAGGAAGAATTACCTGAGCAGTTCAACTCAGAATCCGTTAGAAGCTCCTTCTTTGGAGGCTTTCAAACAAAGGCTGGATGGCTATCTGTCAGGGGTGCTTTGATTGTGTTTTTTCCTGCATGAAGGCAGAAGGGGGTTGGACTGGGCCTTGGGGTCTCTTCTAACTCTGGGATTCAATCATTCACCTCTCTATCTATCTCCCTGTCCATGTACCTAACAACAACAACAACAACAACAACAAACTTTATTGATATCCTGCCCTGATAGATTGGTAGGTAGACAGACAGGCAGGTAAAGAGATAGAGAGAGAGAGACAGGTAATTAGCTAGGTAGGTATCTCCTTGGGAAGATAGGACAGGATATAAATAAGTTGATTATGTTTATTAGCTGCATAGACAGACAGATAGGGAGATAAACAGATAGACATAGATACAGATAGACATAGATAAACAGATAGACAGGCAGGCAGGTAGATAGGTATCCCGTTGGAAATATCCAGCGGGATATAAATAAAGATGATGATTATTATTATTATTATTATTATTATTAGGTACATAGACAGACAGGGAAATAGATAGACAGACAGGCAGGCATCTCCTTGGAAAGATAGGGCAGGATATAAATAAAGTTTATTATTATTATTAGGTACATAGAGAGATAGATATTATTATTATTATTATTATTATTATTATTATTATATCTCCCTGTCTATGTACCTAATAATAATAATAATTATAATTATAATAATAATAATAATAATTATTATTATTATTATTTTCTTTTTATACCCCATCACCATCTTCCCAAGGGGACTTGGGGCAGCTTACAAGGGGCAAGCCCAAAAATTACAAATAGAACACAACCATTTAAAAACATCAAATAAAATCACAGTTGTAAACAACAGCAAAACAATATGGCCGAGAAAAGAACATAGCTGAGGTAGGTAGGTAGATAGGCAGGCAGGAAGGCAGGCAGGCAGGTATCTCTTTGGGAAGACAGGGCAGGATATAAATAAAGTTTGTTGTTGTTGTTAGGTTCATAGACAGGGAGATAGAGAGGTGAATGATTGAATCCCAGAGTTGGATTGGATGGCCCCTAGGGTCTCTTCCAACTCTATGACAAGCAAACCATTCTACCGTCCTTCTCACCCCGAAGAGGACTCAGAGCGGCTTACAAGATATATATACGTACAATATACTATATTATTAGCATAGTACAATATCAGTGTTATATACTACTATATTGTACTATACCATTATATTGTAATATTATTAGTAAATTACATGTAATATAAAATATATAATTATAATATCATATTATTAGTAGTAGTATTATATTGTATTATATTATAATATTATAAATATTATATGTATATATATATATATACACACACACATTATATTGCATTATATTATATTATTAGCATAGCACAGGAGACAA